AAAACAACTGCCCGTGCAGATCATGATTAAAATGCAGTGGTTGCCTCTAATTTCAAATGGCTAGATATTTTTGTTTAAAGCCAATTTGTTTGTTATAAAGCAAATAGCCAATAAAAAAAAGTTGCTTAAAAATCAGTGTCAGTATCAGAATCCAATTTGCTAGTTAAAAAAAAAAAAAAGAAGAAAGAAAAGAAAATCTGAATTCTGAATCAGAAATGACAGGCGTATCACTAATTAAAAAACAAAGAAAAAGGCCTCAAATTTGAAGTACAATCTGGGATGTCTTTTTCTATCAATTCTTCAATAGGTAGATCTAGTCTTTCATAAAGGCCGAGGTCAGGGATCTTTGGCCTAAAAAGGTTGGTGACCACTGCTGTACATGATGTGAGAACAATTAGCTACTTAGGTTTGCACGTTAGCATGGACTAACGCTAGCTAGTTTTAGCCAGAGATATCTTGCTGAAGCACAAGATGACATTAACATTATTCTGCTTGAGCAGATGAACATTGTAACTTAATGAGAGTATGACAACCTGAAAATTAAAGCTGAATAATAAAATAAATTCCAAATTCTATTGCCTATCCTCTCAGGATACCTGGAATCAGTGTTACAAGTACCCCAGGCACATTGTTTTACCATTTTTGTAGCATGCGCCATCAAATCGATGAGAGCTTCGAATCATCCAATGTTTCTCTATGGTGCTGAAACCTAAAGATGCCCCTGTGCAACTGATACTCAACTGCCATTGGCTCATATACATTTGAGGGGAGGGGCTTACTGATAGGTCAATTTGTTCCAAAGCTGAATCAATCAGGAATGCAACAAGTGGCCATCTGTAATAAGTCAGTCATTGAATCATTCATTCAACTGATGCACTTTTTTTTTAAAAGAAAGGAAAGAAAAAGGAAAGAAATTATCAATAAATATCCATCACCTTTGTCAGGTGTCAGCTATGCTTGCCTTCCATTCTAATATTTTGAAATCCAAATATTGCACAGCTTTTGTATTTAGAAATTATAATAAACTTATCATATTTTGATGTTTCCATGTGTATTGGTTTTTACAGAATTAGTTGTTTTGTTGCTAATGTATTACGTATAACTCTACAATAAATACAATTTTGAGCAAACATATTTCATTCATAATGCCATTGTATTAATTAGTATATTCCATAGTTACATATAGTGACAGAAAGCAGCTATTGGGATACATTTGACATTGGTGAAAAACATAAGATTTTCTTTTCATAACCAAGTTACTGGGCAGGTGATTTAGAAAAGGTTGATATTATAGGGAACAACCTGGTGGGCACATGATGCCTCTTCAGTGCAAAAAGTAAGCCACACCTTCCTACTTTTTCATGCCCCTCTATGGATTATATAAACAAGGAATCACATAAAGTGACCATAATAGTAATCAGATCATATCATTTCTAACAAACATCTTTATTATAATGATGTCATTTGACAATCCTGCTAGAAGGCTGGTCTTTCCTATCAGAGGAATGGCAGGCTACCTGAGACAGTATAGTGAGTCATATTTGGGCTTGTTTGCAACAACGCATGCAGTAGGGGTGGTCCTGGCTCTCACCCGCTAAAGAACATGCACCCACACAGAACATTTGGGATATTCACAAATATTCACAGAACATGGCAAGTAGCACCGTTTTTTCAAAGATATCATTAATCAAGCTACATATGAACAAAGTTTTTTTTAACACAAGTGAATGACTAAGACATATCTAGGCAAGCACTGAGAAATATGTTGTAATTTTTAGCTTGGACATGCGGTATAATTTGATAAATGCTGTATAATTTAATAAATGGCTTAGGTAGTGTTACCCAGTGTGATGTTTAAACTCTTTTTGTGATTAATTTGACAGTACAAACTACTGAATCGAGCTGGAAGAAATAAACAAATTATGATTAGAAGAGACAAGGAAGATGGGAATAAAATCATTTAAAGCAACTGTATGTAAGTTTTTTTACCCTAAAATATTAGGTTCAAAATAAGTCACAAAAGTACATACAGAACCATCTCTATCACCATCTGTGGCTGAAGCACAACTTTCAGTGTTATTGACAAAGATGTTTTTTGTGTTATTTTATGCTATTCTGCGAGGATAAATCTGATTGTTTGTGGTACACCAATTACAGTCTGTGGTAACCATAACAGACCATAATATAATATCACAGCCATGCCGATATACAGTAAACCCATATTCAATGGCTACAAGTGATAATGCGTTTATTCAACAGTTCGATGAGTGTGCAAATACATAAGACACAACAACGAGTGTCTTTAAAACCCCTCTTTTTTGCAGAACTACTTCCTTCCACCATAGATACAAATCTCAAGTTGTCAGTTTAATAGCTGAGCCCAAGCTCAGTTACTACTTCAAAAACATCACTTTAAAATTAGCAACAAAGGAACATTGAGTTGCTTCATTGAAAACTTATTGTATTACTGTATTAAAAGCTCACTGTATTATGTAGATTCGAGTATTATGAGAGAGAGATGGACTGAGCAAGAGTGACCAGCATCTTATAGAGTATTCATTCTTCAGCTCAATCTCATATTTACAATAAAATAATAGTTTGAGTGTCTGCTGAGGGAAGCAATATCTTTGGCGTACTATCCTTTCATCTGTTAAGGTTGATTTCCGATGACAGCGCTGCTCAGTGCATTTGCTGGCTGCATCTTACAATGCATTGTTGAAAGTAAAAATAACTCTATTGATCACAACCCTGTTTCAGTCTCTTTCAATAGCCTATAAAAGTCTTTACTGCTGACTTACTCATAAAAAGAGTAAGTAAAATCACCATCATGAACACACACCATTTTCTAATGCTAAATACTATAATTAAATACTACTATTATTTACATAAATTATTATTTACTGAATAATAATATTTAATAAACAACAATAGCCATCATAAATGTTGTTAGGCAATTCAGTCAAAAGTACAAAGGCAGCGCTCTGATATACAACATTAAAGTTACATAAAATATAACATGATGAGATTTTGCCCTCAGCCAAAACTATTTGCTGTGGAACAAATAATAGATTAATTAGAGAAAGACTACCCATTAGATTTACACAAAACGAATTTATATGTCATGTTTAACCACTATAGAGACATCAGAGCCACCGGCATATTCCAGAAGAGCTGGCCAAGGTAAAGCTGCTCTCGGTGGCTTCATGAGCGCTGATGCCCTGAAGCTCGCATCTCCAAAAATGTTGAAGCAAATAGACGTTATCTTTATTAACAAACAACATATTTGAAGTCTAAACAAGTACATTCTTGCCTAAAAACTCTTTAAACTACATTCTGTGTCACAAAAACAGTATTATTTATAAAATAATCGTGGATTTGGGCGTCCGCCATATCACTCGCTGTGAGAAATACCGCAAGCGGAGTGATACAAACAGCAAAATGGTTGGAGCTCTGTTTTCACTAGAATATCACACTCCTGGAAAATCAATTAGTCAGTTTCGAGAAACAGAAAGAACTGTTGTGTGTGTATACATGTATACATACATACACATATAGCTTAAAACAAAAGCCTCTATCGAATATATTCAGATTTTTTATAGAGTGTCTATATAAGCCATCTTATATATGCCTTAATACTTTGAGACACACTGAGGGTACTTCAGATTCTTGAGTGCATATATGAACTTGAAAGCTGAATATACAGCCCTCACTGGGGAAGTGAGTCATGGTGTATTATGATTATTTGTTTCCATGTATATCTTCCATTCACATTTGAAATTAGTTTCATTAATGCTTTCATCTAGTATTATTATATGAATTAGAACCCATTACACCTTAAATTACTAATGAAGTATTGTACTCCATCTGCAGCGAAGTGTTTTCTTTCCTCTCTTTCTGCTGAAGGTTATCCAGTGATATGCTGATGCATTATTCTTATACTGCTCAAATCCAGAGGATGATGTCTGATGCCCTGATTTGACGTTGCAGCCTTCAAAGGCCTTCAGTCTTTGAATCAGTGGCAGGCGGGTCTCAATGGAGAGATACGTGTCTGAGGAAAGAAGCAGTGCTGAGGAGAGAAGTGGAGGCCATCCAGATTGGACAATAAAAGGCGGCAGCTGCTGTGAGTTTGGAGTGCACTTCAGTGACCCCTCAAGGATGGTGGCCTGCTCCCGTCTTGTAATTACCTGCACTCTCTGCTATGCTAGCGTGAAGCTGGGCTGCCCTAGTGGGGTGCAGTGAGGCTTTTTCATCTGAAGAGAGCACGACTGTGTGAGTGTGTGTGACATCTATTTCCTTTGTTTCAGCTGCCATAGCAGATGGGAGTCGTGCCGATGCAGAGTTCAGTCGAAGTCTCAGATGTGCCGCCAACTTCTGATCTTAACTTGGTGAACGATAATATGCCCTCTGGTGATCATTTCGGCAACTGTGTTTGTTTGTGGAAATGTAGCAGCTGCCTTCAGAGCCAAACTTCTCAAATGGTTAATTGATTAATAGCAACCCAATAAACATCCTGCGTAGCACATGATATGTGAAGTGTGGCGTATTAATCATTGAGCACACTCATAAGGAAACATCACACTAGTACCATCAAAACATAGGTGAGGTGCCGTAAATAATTCTGGATGATTGCACTAATTTACCCAAACTTTTAGAGTTAAAATGAATATTTTACCATTTACCTACCCTCACATCATTACAAAAGTATTTACTTTTCTATCTCATCTGAATTTTCCAGGATGTCAATACCATTCTTCTCATTTGTAATTTGTAGTTTGTTTTGCATAAAAGCATCTGCTAAATGAATAAATGTGAATATAAAATGTAAATGTGTGAAGAACAGACTGACTGCACTGAAAATCCTCCCCATCTGCTCAAAGCATTCAAAATCTAATTTGCAGTTCATACTCATTCATTCAAAACATGTCACCTCGAGATGTGCTGTGGCAGGTTTAATGCCAGTCATGTCAAATGCAATCGGCTCTTGCTTGTTTTGTGACACAATTGCAATACACCAAGTTTGAATGTATATTTTTGAATGAGATTTGAGAGTCAAGGAATAAATAAATTGATGATCTTTCACTTTTTTGAATCAGTTTTTCTAAAGAAACGGGTTTATTCAGTCTAAATCATTCAGATGGCTCACACACTGAATCGTTTGGAGCAGTTATAATAATGGGACACACAAAAAAAACACCAACAACAGCAACAACAAATATATATATTTGAATGTATTCCATCAGAATACATCCAAATAAAAAAAAAAGCTGTCAATAAAGATGCTTTTAACAGCCAGACGGTACAGTGACAACATCTACTAGCAGGGTGTAGAGTGTTTAGGATTGTGATTATAGATTTGAAAATATTATTAATAATAATAATATTATATTTGAGTTTTATAATATAAATATGATTAAAAGTATACTGTTTTGCATTATTCAAAGACAGTATTACAAAGGTGTGTTACCAATGTCACCAACATGACCTCTTAATGGTTCATGGAAAAAAAGTCACTAGAACAAAGCTTCCCTTATGAGACTGCACTGGTTCACTGCACATCATTTCAATGTGTTCAGTTCTCCACCTTCAAACAAGGTCAGTCTGCCCGTAAGCCCAGTTACTTATTTGGCCTATCTCTAGAAACAAAAGCCAGGCAGCCTGTGGAGATTCCCACCATTCCTTCCAAACACTGACAAAAAGCACCTACCCCTGCTGAGAGCATTCTTCTGTCTGCAAACGAACCATTACGTCAGGTTGATGATTTAACCTAAAGTAACTCAACGAGCATTATCCACATTCCCTTCTTTAACTAAAAATAGCCCCAAATTGGATGAGAAAGAAACTGGAGAAAGTTAGCACATGAATCAAAGTGTTTGCGTACCGCTGAGTTGCTAGATCATTGCCCAAACACAGTCATGGAAAAAGGTGTCATAGCTAGTGACTTCGGGGGCGATGCATATCGAACATTCCTTAGCCAGCGATAGCTCTTCCATAGTTAGGACGAGGAACAGTCGAGGACATCGTGGACCAACACAGGCCTACACCTCCCACTTTCACTCAGCTCTACATCAATACCTCACACTAATGTTTACAGGGGCGCGTGTGTCAGGGCACAAACCACATACCTCACCTTGTTCTCACGATGCTCAACATGCCATAACAAAATGTAATGAGAACACACACACACGCATTCTCTTTCTTTCTCTCACCCACACGCTGTATTTCTCTCCCTCACACACAGACAAATGCATAAAAAACTTCTCAGAGATATTCATGCTGGACGTATTTATTCAAACTAATATTATTGTAAATTTTTACCATTTTTATGCCTGTTGTCACATTCCGGCCTCCATGTTTTAAACTATGTACCATATATAGACTTGGACATCTTAATGGGAAGAAATGATGCAATGTCTCTCTTATTGAATATAGAAGTAATTTCAAGGCTGAAAGAATTCAATAGCATTTTTAGGGCTAGATTACGTTACTAGATTTTAGCCACACTTTGCAGTCTGTGTTTGTCTACTTTAGCCGTTTGATCAAAGGGTCTGTAATGAAAATCTGGTCAAAATTGTATGATGCTCGATGACCCAAATTTGAAGTCATATGGTGGCCAGCCAATCCACCTTATTCCTACGCCCCAAGATACCCCATTGTGTGAATTATGGTGTAACATCCGTTAAACTGGAAAACAATCAGTGATTGTTTGCAAAAGGTTTCCTCTATAAACGCAACAATATGTTTCTTTTTAAACTGGGTACAATGAGATGACAATATTCAACTCGCCCTTCAACCATCTATCATTAAAATGACATTTAAATGTGTAAAAGCATAAACTAGGTACTTTCAACAGACCATGAATAATCCCAAAAGCATGATTCTTTCAATAACGGACGGGTGAAATATCACTGTAGTAATATATATCATATTTTGTAACATATGTTACTTTAATCAAAAATGTTCATTAACTTTGCGTGATACTACTACAAATTGAGAGATTCTTTGTGCATTCAAGTTAATTATTAATGGGAAATATCAGGAGAAATGACTGCACATGTGCAGTATACAGTATGTTGTCCTTTTTCATAAAAAGACTTGATAAAAAAGAAAAAAAAGTAAATAAGTGAAAGTGACGTGACATGTAGCCAAGTATGGTGACCCATACTCAGAATTAGTGCTCTACATTTATCCCATCCAAAGTGCACACACACAGCCGGAGCAGTGGGCAGCCATTTTTTGCTGCGGCACCCAGGGAGCAGTGCCTTGCTCAAGGGCACCTCAGTCATGGTATTGAAGATGGGAGAGAGAGCTGTACATTCACTCCCTCCACCCACAATCCCTGCCCATACGAGACTCAAACCCGCAACCTTTGGGTTACGAGTCCGACTCTCTAACCATTAGGCCACGACTTCCATGACATAATCATGAGGAAAAGGATGTAGCGACTGAAAAGAGCTCTTGCCATAGATATAATTGTTATAACATGTCACGTTAAAATACCAAGCATTATGTTATTTTCATGTCTGAAAATAAAACATTAAGGAAAATCAACAGCTCATTCAGTCAAACAGATGGATAAGCTTTATTTCTAGGGCAACCTAATCTGTGTATCATTCGATCATTGGTTTTTTGATTTAATATTGAAAGTAGAAAAATTAGAAAACGGCTCCTTTTTCGTTTTTTTGTTTTTTTCCAAAAAACTAAAAACGAGAATTCAGCTTAAATTTTCGTTTTTCGTTCATGGGTGTAGTTATGAATAAACAGGTTGATTATTGGATTTCTACACGTGGGCGGGAATTAAACGCCCCTTTCTGCTGATTGGTAAGCCGAAGATCCAACCGTGCCTTCATCAGTTCTTCCGCAGTATCACGCAGCAGAATAATAGTCCTCCGCTGCTGCAGTTGTATGGATTAATAACCCTGTTTTATCAATTTTATATCTTTCTCATCAAACAGACTAATGAATAGCTCGACACAACTCATACCGGGGCAGAGTCTAGACAGGGCTTTCTTCTGTGTAGGCCAGCGGTTCTTAAAGTGATAGGGGGTCCAAGAAATAATTTGCTATAGCCTAAAGTATTTCCAGACTGTAAAGTCGCTTTTTTTATCATGATACATCGGCCTACTGTGATTTATTCCAAAGTGACTTATATGATGCATTTAATGTCAAATAATCTAAATGAAGCCTTTTAAAAGACAAGTATTCACTGTGGTTCATGTTTGTGGCACGCGCCAGAAAGATGCTCAAGGAGACCGAGATGCACTAAAGCAGTGCATTCTGTTGTTCTCTTTATTTTTTCAAAGGCATGACATTTTGTAGTTATTTTGAACGTAACGTTACACAATTAAAAATATCTGGGGGCCCGGTATGGGCTAGCGCGGCCAGTTGCTCGGGCCGGGGAACCCACTTTTTGAGCAAGTTGACGTGGTAGATTTGCTCCGTCCGTCGGTGGCCCGGTTGCCGCACCCGGTACGTCACTGATCCCATCCGTTCCACTACGGTGTAGGGACCCTGCCAGGTCGCCAGAAACTTGCACGCAGCTGTCGGGACCAGTACCACCACTCGATCGGGCGCGCTGGGCGGTCACCAGATGTTCCTTCACCAGTGGCATGACCCGGTCTATCCTTTCCCGCATCTCCCGCACGTGCTCGACGAGGCTACGAAGTGGGGCGGGTTGGTTTTCCCAGGCTTCCCGAGCCACGTCTAGAAGGCCCCTGGGCTGTCTCCCAAACAGCAGTTCGAAGGGGGTGAAGCCTGTGGAGGCCTGCCAATATTTTATGAAACTCTTGCGTTGCAGTGCGAGTGCGCAGCAGGTCAGGATGCGCACAAGTGCATATCCTTTTGAGGTATCAATTATAATAAATTTTAATAAAACACAAGACTACATTATATAACTCTAACAGTAGGCTATTTAATATCTGTTGTTCTCCGGCAGAAGAAAGCCCTGTCTAGACTCTGCCCCGGTATGAGTTGTATTGAGCTATTCATAAGCCAGTTTGTTTGACAAAAAAAGATTAAATGTAGTTTCGATAAATGCGTTAAGAATCCATACAACTGCAGCAGTGGAGGACTATTATTCTGCTGCGTGATACTGCGGAAGAACTGATGAAGGCACGGTTGGATCTTCGGCTGACCAATCAGCAGAAAGGGGCATTTAATTCCCGCCCACGTGTAGAAGCCCAATATTCAAGCTGTTTATTCATTTTTCCACCCATGAACGAAAAACGAAAATTTAAGATGAATTTTCGGTTTTTGGAAAAAAACAAAAAAAAAATTAAAAAGGAGACATTTTCTCATTTTTCTACTTTCAATATTAAATCAAAAAACTAATCATCGAATGATACACGGATTCAACCTTATGAGTTGAAATCATTTGTTTCTGTCTTTTTGAATGGAAGTTCCCCAAACCAAAAGTGCCTGCCATAAACCTTAAAGGGAGCATTCACCTAAAAATTAAAATTTGCTCACCATCTTGCTGAACCAAAAGATGATAGTTTGTGAGTCAAAAATAAAAATTCAACCCTACTGACTACTACCTACTCTCTTGGCAAAAAAACATTAAAAACTAATTCCCAAAATGTCCTTTCTTTTGCTTTTTAAAAATCGAAAATGTTTAACTTTAAGTGTCAAACAGTATGTCCCTGTAGTCATAAACTGTAGTCTGTTAGTGTTTAATAGGCTACCTATAGAATATTTGAAGTCTGTTCAAATATTAGGTAATGGGATGCAGTCTTTATGGTGTATTGCTCTTCTTTCAAATTTCTTTATATAGCTTCTTCATATAGTCTTTTCTTTGTTTTTGTCTTCTTCTTATGGCACTCTATCTAGTCTGTATCTGCAGTATTGCAATACTACAGAACTATAACGAGGCATTTTCATCCTGGACCTTCTATCAGTCTGTCTCTCTGGCCATTGACATTTTTCTTTAATATTTCTCCACTGTTCCCCCTATTTTCGCATCCCTCCTGATATTCCTCTACCTCCCGGCCTATTCCTCTCATTCTTTCTT